GCGCTGGCTTAGTACTATAAGTTTGCCAAGAGCCAAATGCATGGTTCTTAAATATAATAATGATTGATGAATTTCAGGAACCTAGGATCAACATATATTGAGCAGCAATGTATTTGTCTAGAAGAATATTCCAGTCTCCTTCCTTGAGCCTGTTAAAAAAATCCTCTAATCTGTGGACAAAGAGGGCTTGCTACCTATTGTCTAAATATCTAAATCAGCTATTGGGCCTTAATGAGAGTTGAACCTAATCTGATTGTTTTCCTGCATCCAATAGCACCTTGTTCACCTTAATTGGCTTTGATTGGTCCATAAACTCTTACCCCTTATCCTCTTTTACTTTATGTCCAAATCAACCCCTTTTAGCCTGATTGTGCTGTGTTAGTTGGCTGAGGATAAGGATAGATGTTCCTTCTTTTCAGCATCGTGGGACCAGGCAGTGCATCCCTCTGCATAAGCCCAGCCACTGGTTCATTCATTATTTAGAGCCCTCACTACCAGGCACATCGTATTAACGGGGTATGATTTGAATAGGAAGCAGCTTCCAGGACCCAGGCGTGTGATGTGTGTGTTCCTCACTGTCATTGTATGTTTCTGTGGGCTTCATCCATCTGCCTCAGCAAGCCGGGGGGCTGAAAGAGAATTTCCATTTTATGAATATTTAATACATAATAAAGTTTTCAATTTTATTCTATGCAACCCCTTGAGGTAGAACTGTGGCAAAGCCGACCCTCAAGGACGGAGCACGTTCAATGGCTGCGGTCAACGTCGGAGCATCGCCTCAGAAATCCAGTAAAATGCACAAAGATCAGGAATAGTTTAACACCACATCCTATAACATCCTATCAGGGGTTTATAGCGTCCCTATTTCCCACATCTCAAACTTCCCTTATGCCGTATTACTATTGGATCATAGTCTACCCGGGCTGCCTGCTGTGTTTGTGGTGACCTGCAATGGCTCCGTGTGAGACACCCAGCTGGGTGTGCCCCCGAATCAACGTGGGATTAGCCCAGGATTGTCTGGGATTACTCGGGGATGGAGGGGGATTAGCAGTGACTGCTTGTTTCGGGGGCGTGAGGGCCACAGGCTGGCCAAATTGCCCCCTGACTCAGACCGAGGGAACAGCAGGCGGACAGCACCACACCCACAGTGGAACCACCTGCAACCTGAGCTATTCTTAGATTCTGGAACACACACACACACACACACAGGATGACAGAGAAAAACATGTGGTGGAAAACTACACGACAGGAAGCAAGCGGCTAGTGATGACGATGCCATTGCTGGCCAGCGTCCAGATTCTCTCAAATCTCTCTTAGCAGGTGGATTCATCAGATAAAGAGGGTTTGGGATGAGGACAAATCCCTCCAAGTTCAACAGGGCTGCTCTTCCCTCGTGGAGGGATAAATTGTGATTCGACGGGTCACACAGAGCTTGTAGCACGAAGTGGTTCGGCTCTCTGAAAGATGGCCCCCCCACCCCGCTTACAACCGACCCGTGGTGGCATGAAAGCTTACATATGTTTTAATTCAGGCATGCACGGGACTTGATGTGGATGATTCAGAGCGGTGCGATAGGTGGAGGATACTGCCGCGGCGAGACGGGTAGTTTGGCGCGGCACGTAGCGAAGCCGTCAGAAGCGGGGAGCGGGCGTCCCCCGCGGACCTGCACTGCTGAGATGAAAGACTGTTTAGTGTTGGAGCCGCAGCATCAAACAACCGCCTCCTCTTGCATCCTCTCCCCCATCCCCCACTCTCCCAACATCTCTCCCTCCCTCAGTCTCTAGACTCCAACCACAATATGATATAGTTCTGCGGTTGCACGTTTACCCGGTTGCCATGGCTACCCAATGCCAGCGGTGTCACGGCGAGAAAACCCAGGGAGGCATTCACAGATCACCTGAATTCCGCTCGCCTCCCCTTTATGTGCTTTGCGGCGCGATTTGATTTATTTGTTTCCCTGCCGTGCAATTCAGTTTGAATGCAAATAATCCACAACATAATAGAGATGGTGGTGGAAGTGTGAGAACCATTGAAACATTCTATTGTCCCGGTATATTCCTAAACCACAGGAGATGGCTTTCATTTGATATTCTCCCGCGTGAACGGCGAAATGTCTCACACACAACAAAGAGCAAAACAGTAATGACGGACTCCGTTGCACACCAGGAACCTTCAGCATTCACAAACCTGTGAGACAAATGATAGTAAAATTAAAATAAAGACAACCTATATCCTATGAAATACTGAGCCAGTGGCTGTACACGGCCATGTAGAGGATGAAGAGAAAGTCATCGGTGACCAACTGTACAATTGAAGACACAGGGATTGAATGGGGAAGGGGAAATTGACTGTTATGTGCATGAAAAGAGTATGAAATAAGAAAAAAAAACAGAAATGTGGAGCGCTCCCTGACAAGAGAAGGAGGGATCGTGATGAAGACAGAACAAGGGAGGGAGAGGGAGATAGGCAGTGAAGGTAGACGGCGGAGGGTGGGATACATCTATTAGCCTGCCTTGCTCCCGGCTCAGTCTTCCAATTCATCCTCCCATTGGAGCCAGGAGAGCGAAAGAGACAGCGCTGGCGCTGAGCCAGACTGGCACCGACTTCAAACATTACAGTACGCCCGACCGCAGCGGCTTACAAAGCCCGGCTGAAGGCAGAAGTCGAGGAGGACGGATGGATGGATGGAAATGAATGTGGGAGGGTTGACGTGCACAAGGACATTGTCTCGAGACTGAGTCTCGGGTCCTTTCTGGTTGGTTGAAGCTCGGTTGGTGTGCTGCGCCAGCTGTCGCTGTCCTTCGAACATGTTTGAAGGTTCTTTACATTTTTCTGAATTTGGTTGAACCTATTGTTTGGACTGTTGTTCTACTTGTGTGTATTTTGTATTTCTAATAATAGAAGGTGAAAGCAAGAATCTTGTGCAAATTCTTCTAATTTACAGTGTTCGCTGTAGAAAAGCAGTTTCTAAAGATTAGAAGTGATGTATGGAATACAATTTATTTTGATCTTCCACTCACTATTTGTCTCTTTCATCTCTCTGCAGAATTCCATCCGACACAACCTGTCCCTCCACACACGCTTCATCAGGGTGCAGAATGAGGGAACAGGGAAGAGTTCTTGGTGGATGCTGAACCCAGATGGAGGAAAAATGGGCAAGTCCCCCCGCCGACGAGCAGTCTCCATGGACAACAGCACCAAGTACCTGAAAAGCAAGGGCCGTGTCAGAGGCAAGAGGGTCGGCCGTCCCGGGATCGGAGCAGGGTCGGTGGTGGCTGGGCTCCAGGGTTCCCCCGACCAAAGCAGCCCGCCGCGGAAAGTCCTCCCGGGAGCTGGAGATAGATCTGGGATAGATGGAGAGTTTGATGCTTGGACGGATCTCCATTCCAGGGCTAGTTCATCAGCCTCCACCCTTAGCGGTCGTCTTTCCCCGATACTCGCGGAGGGAGAGCCAGAGGAACCAGAGGAAGGTGGCCTGTCCTGTTCCACCTCCCCCCACCTCTACCCCTCGCCGACCAGCGCCCGGTCTCCATCCAGGGGGGCAGGGAATCTCTGTCCCCCCCTTGAGCAGCTGCCTCAACTAGCTAACCTGACTGGTGCTATCAGCCTGGATGAGCAGCTGGTGGAGGATAGCTATCATCACCATCACCCACCGCAGCAGCAACACCAACAGCATCCGGCTGTTGGCAGACATAAGCACCCAACCCCAGTGTACCACTACAGTTCTGGAGGGAAGGGGCAGAGTCCCTACGGGGCCGGCGTCTACGGGGCAACGAGCATGGGGATGCTGCGCCACCACTCACCCATGCAGACCATTCAGGAGAACAAGCCAGCAAGTTTCTCTGGAACCATGCGGGCGTACTCCAGCACCAACGCCCTGCAGAGTCTGCTTACAGGCGGCCCGGCTAGGCAACAATACTGTTCCAAGGACATAATGCTGGGACAGGAGAGGGAAAGCCATCCTATGATGGGCCAAGCTAGTAATGGAGTAGGCTCCAGCCCTCACAGCCACCACCCCGGCCACCTCAACGGCCACAGCCACAACGGAACTCACGGTCACAGCTCGACTCACAGCCATAATAGAACTCACAGCCATACAAGTAGTCATAATCACAACAATGTCACCAATCACAACCACAACTCGCCTCTCAGCCTCACTCACAACAGTCACAACCTCAGCCAGAGCCATAACCCCACACCGCCGCGGGCCGTGGCCCTCATCCCACGAGGCAACGCCAATCAGCTGCACAGCTACAACCACAAAGCTCCCTACCTGTACAGCCCCCCATCACATGCCCACCTCCCTGCCTCCACCACCCTCCCCCCAAACCCAGCAGGTATGCTTGGCATGCCCCAGGACTCGTGCCACGTGGCCGCTGCCCCGCACCCCCGCCACAACCATTACCCCGATCCACAACACCAAGGCATGGCAAACGGACCGTACCACCATGGCCAGGGGATTGGGAATGGTAGCATTGGTAGCAACTACCATGGCTATCACCACCCTCACCCCCACGAGAGACTACCAGCTGACCTGGACATTGACATGTTCCACGGTAGCCTGGACTGCGATGTGGAGTCCATCCTCCTCCACGACATTATGGACTCCAGTGAGGAGATGGACTTTAACTTCGACTGCTCCCTAGCCCAGGGGGTGGGCATCGGCATGGGTATGGGCATGGGTGTGACCATGGGGATGGGGATGAGCGGTCTGACTGGACCACAGCAAGCCCACAGCAACCAGAGTTGGGTGCCAGGCTGAAGTCTGGGACGACACATCCCGCCCTCTGAGCTCAAAGAACTACGCCGCCCGTGACGCGATGTGCTCAACTCCTGACGTTCCTGACTCGGCACAGAGACTTTAGGACCAACGCTCCTGTCCCGCTATATTGTCTTCTTCTGTCCCCCCTCCTCCCTCCCCCCGAGAGAGATGTAGTTCACGTCACATTAGGTTTTTCTTCTTATCAGCTATACTGTGATGACAATCTCTCAGCTGTGCTTGCCCGTCACCGCTTCTCATCTAACCATGAGAACTTAACTCTCAATGCACTTTATTGCAAGTGGGTCACGTCTCAGAGCAGCGCAGGCGGAGCTCGGCATGTTTTGTACGGTAGCTGCAGAATGTGGCGGCAGCGAATGAGGTAAACACAGGCGCCATTGATAAAGTCTTAAAGTCTTGGCATTGAATTTAAATTGAACTCACATGTCCGTGTAAAGGTCTATTTAGTGATTAGAACCGTGTGGCCTTGGACACAACCTATTCAGTCATCACTGACAAATTAAAGAATGGAATAAATTCAATATTGTTGATTGACACTTGTTTAAATGCATATAGCACTGTTTGATATTCTGTTTTCTATTTGAGCTCATCTGATTGAATAATTATCTTAAACTGGCAGTCCTGTTTTTTTTTTTTTATAGTTACATGCATTCAGCCCTTGAGGCTTTGACTTTTCTACTGGATCTAACATTGTGTCATTGCCCTTTTGCTTTTCGTTAAAGAATATCGTGACTAGACCGTTAAATAGATTTCATCATTACGGGCAAGCATGCAATTTGGCGGCTTAAAATGTTGTATCGCCTTATCTCACCTGGGCTCCTTGTGCCAGTTTGCTCTCTCTGCCCGCCAACAGAGACAAAGTGACCATTTCTCACACGCAGCCATTAAGGTGGCTTGATTGAAATTCAGCATCTTGCTTTTAATCTCCAAAGTGATGCGGCAGCGATGCGTCATTATTGAGAATCCAACACGTTGTCCTCCCATCTCTCACCCCGGCTGCCCGCCCGCCCGCCCGCCCGCCTCACCGACTTAATGTGCGGAGAAAGCGGCGCAAAACCGTGATTAACGTCACGTCACTCTGCCTGCCGTCCTGCTCTGAGAAGGCCGCCGCCGCCGCCGTCCGCTTCGCCTGCTCACAGAGGGCACGGAAAGGAAGAGACGGACAAACGGAGAGAACAAACGTCTGTTGTGTCAGTGCGATCAATCCTCAGCCTCAGTTTCCGTACTCTTTGGGTGTGTGTGTGTGTGTGTGTGTGTGCGTGTGTCTGAAAACAGTTTGTGTATTCGTATTGTAAATCATCCCCAATGTCGGTATTTTGTATTTCCTCGTTCCCATGTTTTCAGTGCTTACACCCCCGAGCTTCAAATACTGATCGGTGCAATGGGAGAGAAAACAATCAGCTGATCCGAGCGAGTCTGTCAAACGGGGTGGTAACGCACCCGCCCCCCCACCCCCTCCACCCCCTCCAGCCCCCTCCAGCCATCCACTTTTGTGTGTGTTTATCCGGTGTCTGGTAGTGGTTGTTGTATGGTGGAAATTCTAAGGACCAACGAGGACGCGGCTGAATCATCCATGGCGTGTGGATGGAAACGATGTCGGTGGTGCAGTTCGACCTTTCCTGTGTTCCACCACCGTGTCCCGTCCCCCCCCCCCCCCACGCGCTCTCCTCGGCTGTCTCTGCGTTTGTGCTTGTGGGATTGTCCAGCTCGTTTCTCACCGGCCTGGAGAGAGTAAAAGGAGACCCGTATTCTCCAGTTCCCTTAAGGAGACTCCCCTGCACACAAAGAGAAATGATGGGGGGGTTAAGAGCAGGGCGGCGGGGGGATTTTTACAGCCAAAGGTCAAGCACAGCACAGACTATCAGACCCATTATCGGAGTAAATACCTTTATTTCAGGGCTTTTAGTCGCGCTGGTTCCAGATAATCTCCGTGAGGAAAATGCGTGGAATTTTCTAAACAAATGGGCCTCACAAAGCAGTTATGTTAAAAGCTATGCTACAGACATTTAGTAATGCCCTGCTATTGGAAAGAGCTATATGATGTCCAATTTTCCTATATTTATTTATGAAAGAGATTGGTCTTTGTCCCTCCTTCATGTGGTAGTTGTTTGAGTCAACTTCTAACCCCCTCTTTTCTCTGTTTTCTAAGATGTCCCTCTACCTTTGCTCCTTTTACTGACTTTTATTTTGTACAAAATCTATATATTAAGAATACTGTAAAATAGTTTTTGAAATCTCGAAATAATATCAGTTTTTGTTGTCTATTTCTTTTTTAAGAGAATGTATCTCATCATCTGGTGACTGGTAAATAAATGAAATTAAAAATAAAAAAAAGTCTGTCGTTGCAATTTTGTAAATCAGACCAAGGGCAGAGATTTTCCTGCAAAGTGGATTCTCCTGCTTGTGAGCAGGCAAAAATAAATGTAATAAATGTTCATTTATTTCTTCGTTGTCTAGTTTGTGCATTTCGCATAACCCAACTCCTCAAGCACAGTCACGCTACCACGTTGGCTGTTTCACCTGAACACCAAGCGGCGGCGTGGGAGGGGACGGAGTGGGCTGCATGAATGAAATGGGGGGGGGGGCGGCGGAGGCATGTTCACATATGTCGGGGACAATCACTTGTGCTTGAGATTGCATGAGAAAGAAAGCGAGAAATGGTGTGAGCTGTTCATTTTGTGTGTGTGTGTGTGTGTGTGTGTGTGTGTGTGTGTGTGTGTGTGTGTGTGTGTCACAAGGCTTGTTATGGCCCGTGAAGCGGCATCGGTTGGCCACAGCTGTCCCGGTCCCATCGGAGGTGTTTTCACAGGAGGAGCATGCAGCGCTACAGCGCCATACTGCCAACCCCCCCCCCCCCCCCCCGGGGAGCCCCCGCCTCTACACTTTCACACACCTACATTTGAATTTGCCACAAATTTCGCACAATTACACAAAGAGGCACACACGGCGCACACAGTTATGAAACCATATGCACCAACACACACTCAAGCAGACATTTCTCACTGTGCAGTTTTAATTGACTCCACTTGGCAAATCCTCCCTACTGGGAACCGAGTGAGAAGTAGAGAGAAAGTGAACGATATAGGTGTTGAGGGAGGGAGCCAGACGCACACATTTAAAGCTAAAGAGGCCTGACACACAAACACGCTCGCACTCGAAAAGTGTTTTTCAGAGCATTTTTTTTTAGGATTTTCGGATTGGAGCGCAAACTTGGCCCGCTAACTTTAATTTAAGATGCTTCATACTTTCACAACTCCACCAAACGGAGTCGCGATTCAGTGCGACTGAGAGGCTGGCGCACGGCCAAAGCCCCCCCCCCGGGCCCCCCGAGGGAGAAAAGGGGCTGAGGTGGGCAGGAAGGCCGTCCAGTCCAGGTGCTGCGCCTCGGGGAGGGTCTGCTCCTCTGTTGCCCATTATCGGAGAGAGAGGAGCTGTGTGATGGAGTCATTGTTCATGCACTCAAGCATCTGGGAGCAGGTCCCTCCTCCCTTGATGTCGTCGTGGGGGGGGGGGGGGACCAAAGGCTGGCTGGGGACACGGCTAACTGCTAACAGACAGACCCGCCCGGGAAAGGCTCCGTAGCGCCGGGGTCCTCCAGGGCGCAATGAGGATTCTGCACGTCTCACTTTCAGGCCGCGGTGCAAAGGAAAAGAGTGAAGCGCCGGGGGGGGGGGGGGGGGGCAAAGGTCATCGGGCCTCACGTTGGTTTCACTGTGTAACGTGTTGCGGTGTTCACCTCCCTTATGGTCTGCGCTAAAAGTCGCTGCAGCGTGGCGATCGGCCCCGGGAGGAACTGAACTGGAGAACGAGGACGCGGTGAAGAGCGAGAGCGTGGCTTTGGGATCGGTGCTCTCCATTCCTAAGATTATTACTAGGTTCTTAATTAAGTACAGCGAAAGCACTTATGAGACGTCCACAGGACCCAAGGCTTCTTAAAGAGGGGACGGTCCATTGGAACTATAAAATGATCTCCTCAGTCCAACCGGCAAATGGGCTAAACCCGAACGATAGCCTCGGCCATTTAGAGATCAAAATGTGAGGGAAGACGGTCAATCGTTAAACCACATTGTGCGATCGGAGTGGTTCTTTTCATTGCTTGCTATCAAAAGCAGCAGCAGCAGCATGAAGGATGTAGCGTGAGAAGAGGCGTTCAAATGGAAACCTGCCTTCCTGAGGTGGAGTCACGGGTGCGGTGGAAGAAGAAGAAGAAGAGGTCGTCAGAAGGAGCTCTGAGAGTTTTATTGTCAGCGTTAAAGGCTGCGGGACCAGAGCGCAGACACACAGTCGGGTTAAACATGACATCGTGGAATAATTAGGACGCATTGTTGGTTTATTCCACTTCAATCATTGAAAAGGTGTCTCTGAGCACCGGTGTTAAAACACCTTTCTCTCTCTTTGGGAGTGAGGCTCATGTAGTCACCCAGCTTCACCGCAATAGATGCTTGGGGGACGTATTGGTGCGCAATCATGCAACCAGCTCTTTATCGTCAGCAATCCCCCCCCCCCCCCCAAAAAAAATAAAACCGGTTGTTTAATCAACTCCAACATCCTTTGGGTGTTCAGGGCCACTGCGTTTTTCCTGATTAAAAGAAGATGACCTACCAGGAAATCCTCCTATCCTCTATCGCTCTCCTCCGCGCGCTATTAAACCAATCACTGTCCTTAATGAGTCTAACCCCCCGCCCCCCGCCGCCTTGTCCCCCATGTCCCCATTTCACCCTCCTTCAGTGTAGACACACAAGACGGATCTAATCAGATCTTTTCTCTCCTCATCCGCCAATGATCCACTCATCAGGAGTGGGAGAAGGGGGGAGGAAGAGGGAGGAAGGGGGTGGTGGGGGGGGGGGTGGGGGGGTGACCTAAAGCGACGATGACACAATTAATGTCCAATTAATGCTCCTCTTTAGCAGCGGCATCGTCTCACCTCCCTCCTGTATTTCTCCCCGCCCTCACCCCCCCCCCCCCCGCCTCTGTCTCCCCCTCTTCTCTACTCCTTTTATTTCCTCCCAACACACATCCAGCCCCCCCCTCCCTCCCCCCTCTGCCTAATCTCACACATGGGGAGCTGTGCAATACTGCGCAGCAACTAGCTTAGCCCGCTAGCACACACAGTGCAGCTCGGAGTGCTAATAGGGAGGAGGGGGGAGTCAGGAGGGAGGAGGGGGAGGGGGGTGTCTCTAATTACAGTTTGATACTAAAGAGTAATTAATGAGTTTGTGGCTGATGGGAGCAGCTTTGGAACGTCAGACTCGATCGCAGCAGATAAGAGCTGTTTGTGCAGAGACCATGCAGGACCCCCGGGACAGACAGACAGGCAGACAGACAGGCAGACAGAGAGACAGACAGACAGACAGGCAAACAGACAGACAGACAGACAGGCAGACAGGCAAACAGGCAAACAGACAGACAGGCAGGCAGACAGACAGAGAGACAGACAGACAGGCAGAGAGACAGACAGACAGACAGACTGAGGGACAGAGAGACAGACAGACAGACAGAGAGACAGAGAGACAGACAGGCAGACATGCAGACAGAGAGACAGACAGACAGACAGAGACAGACAGGCAGACAGAGAGAGACAGACAGACAGACAGGCAGACAGAGAGAGACAGACAGGCAGACAGGCAGACAGGCAGACAGACAGGCAGACAGAGAGACAGACAGACAGACAGAGACAGACAGGCAGACAGAGAGACAGACAGGCAGACATGCAGACAGAGAGACAGACAGACAGACATGCAGACAGAGAGACAGGCAGACAGACAGACAGACAGATAGGCAGACAGACAGACAGAGACAGACATGCAGACAGAGAGACAGACAGACAGACATGCAGACAGAGAGACAGGCAGACAGACAGACAGACAGACAGACAGATAGGC